GGCGACTGACTTTTGTTTTAATACTTTGTATGAAATGGAGTTTGTGTTTGCTGAAATAAGTGCTCAAAAGCCTTCAGTGTGAATTTTGTAAACATTACAAGTCATATGATCAAAGCACTTTGCTGGTCATGCATTCGTCTCGCTTTCAACACCGCATTGTTTCACTTCGTTGATAGAACATTTCCAATCTAATAATATCCAAAAGATTTATGTCCAAGAATGATTTATTTGCGACGATTCAATTTGCTTTGCTAAAAATCAATCAAGCTTTTTATTGTTTGAGGCCTTGCTTTGATGTAAAGCATTCAAATAACTTGCACTTTTGATTGCTTCGATTAGCTAATGCTGCAAGTATATGTATCAGTTGTGGACAAATTTCTCAAATGTTTAATTGACTGCAAAGTGAGTCATACAGTTTGTGTCAACCATGTGGTCTTGCGTGGCAACTACGCATTCGCAGCGTTTGGGCATTGCGCAGCAGCCTCTGGTCATCCGGCAATTTTAAACGCGCAAATGGTATCGTGCATCCCCCAAATTGTTCCCATATGAACCACCAACGTGGGTGCCTTTCGATCGTTCTAACACGTCAACTCCAGCAAATTTAAGGCGCTTATTCGAAGTTGACATGTTAGAACGATCGAAAGACAGCCACGTTGATGGTTCGTATGGCACCCGCCATACTTGATCCGCTCAACCCACTTGATCAGCTTGATCCGCTTCGTCATTGGCCAATTCCGTGAACAGAGCAATAGCGAAGCGGATCAAGTATGGCACGTGCCTATGGAAACAATTTTGGGTGCACCATGCATCCGCGTACGCAGCACGAGGCTTTAGCGTTGCACTTGAGCTGATGAAAAGGGAGCACATCGTTGACACTGATTGTAAACGGATGGTGATTGCGGACTGTCTGCGCTTCCTTTACAGTTCGCTCTCTGCGATTAGACTGCGGTTTGGTGACGACAGTCCGCAATAACGTCCGCTCTCTGCGGCAGTGCTAAATTTCAACATTTTTTGCTGAAAGCGGTTTTCAAAACATCCCATAATCTACATAATCTAGCCGTCTACATTTTTAGTCAAAGGGGATTGTAAATACTACGAAGCGTTAAAAAATTTGGGTATGACTGACAGCTTATTACTATCTGCCCTTTTACGATAGCGCTGCGACATAGTCACGCCATCCATATTTCTGGGTACTCAATAATTTTCACGTCATTGCGAGAATTTCATGCCAATGAAAGTGATATTTTATGCGTGGAACTTCTTGCATGGAGATATAATAGCTTCTCACATTCGCCCACCCAGCTTGCCAGTTTTTCTTTGCTCGGGGCGTTTTCCCATCATACGTGCAGCTGCAAGAGAAATCACAGCTGGAGCTAATATGGGATATTTTTTCATTTATCATAGGACCGCTAACACTTTTACAAGCTTGGTGGGACTTGGTTTGCATCCTTTTTTGGACTTCTTCGTCGCATCTAATTTTAGCTGCAAGTCGGTTTCTCTTTTCACTGCTCACTTCGTAGAAGCTTTTGTTTGCAATTCTTTTCATGTTACGGCATAATAGGTTTGACATTTGTTTCAACTTCATTAGATAGTCCATTCAAAGCAACGACAATGAAAGGAATGCTGCATTGACAACGTCAGAGTGAGTTCTCGTTATACCACTGCCTTTTTCGAACGTTATATAATTTAGCTTTTACTTTTTTGAAGTTTCATTTAGCCTTTAGATATTCACATTTCATATTTAATTATTTTCGCTCATCGCTATGATTTTGAGATTTGGCTGTTATCGGAAATATTTTTACAATCGTTATGAAAAGATTGTTCTTATGGATGTGTTATGTTTACTTTCGTCCTATATGCTGAGTTTGCCTCATTTTCGTTCGAAATTCTACTTTTTGGTTGAAAAAAAAAGTATCAGATAGCACTCTTCCCACTCTTTTTTCTTCTTGATTGACATCTGCTTTGACATACATCGACATCAAACATCAGCACATAAGCCTATCGAATCTTTCCATTACTCTCGTTCAGCTCTCCTGTTCAGCATAATTTTCGACTGCAAGGCCTTGAAACTATTATATCACATTCTGTTCACCATCGCGTGGATAAGCATATTCATCACTCAACTAATTTTCTTTCTGTTCTATAATATTTGTTGTAAGAGGAATGTAACGGGGCTTATTAAAGTGTGCTTTAAATTATAAACTGGGTTAGGGATTGAAAAGGGTATTACCTTAATCCATTTCGCGGTTTTATTAGATTTTTATACCTACTCATTCTTAGATTTTTATACCTACTCATTCCTGCTAAAGAGCATTCTGCATTTTTTTTAATGCTTCGGCAGAGTAAATTTGATATTTGTTTCAACTTTGTTAGTAGTCTAATCAAAGATAATGATAGGAATGCAGCACTGTCATGCGTGCGTTCAAACAGCAAACATAAAGCTCGACTCCAGCATCTTTTTGAATTCAAACAGGTGGCCAAGAGTCTGTCTTTTTACGTGCAGGAACCAGAATTTCAATTTAGGAGGATTACCTGGGAGCATGTTCCATTCATGGTTGCGAACTAGATGATGTTGCTTCCATCGCATACGGGTGTTTTTTTTTGCATCTGACCCATTGTGCAAAATGCTTTGTTTTCTTTTTTCCAACGCTTACACAATTTTGTGCGAATAGAACTAAACCACTGCTTCGTTTCATGTACTTTTTGCCACTTTGTACACTGTACATTCCAGTGGAAAGCATACGTTTTGCAGACCCAAATAAAACAGGGTCATGTCGTAGCTCTCAACAGAATGTGTTTCAATTGAGTAGAAGTGATTAGGTCGTGTAGTTTATCGAAATTTTTTTTGAACATATCATTTATTTATGCCGACAATATTGCTCTGTATCCACGCGCAAAAAAAGTGATCTCATAAAGATATAGAACTATAATCACTCAGTCCCAAGCCCTGTTACTTCGTGGTGGGATGACTAACCAGTGTTTTTTTTATTTGGCGCACGTAGATAACTTCCAGCACTAAAAGAAAAACAACATCAAAGGCATTTATGCCGCTACCGAAATATTACATTGATTCCGTGATTTGTTGCAATTATATCGAATCTTAGTCATAGAGTAAATTTATATTCGACGGTCATGGTTTTTTTTCTCAAAAAAAATTGTCCTTTGTCCTGGACTCAGAATTTATTCCGCAACCCGACTGATTATTTCTGTAGCAGTTGTTGTATTAGGCGAACTATCTATTTATGTATGGAGAACTTGTTTTTATTATGTAGTGTAGGTTCTGCACTATTACAGCCCTTTGATAATACCTGCCGCTCTTAGTATAAAGACTGGCAACAGCATTTTTTGCAATACAATGTCATACCACTGTCGCACGCATGCATAATGCTATTGCCTGAAAAAGCTTTTGTTCAATTTGTATTAGTAACTTTGCGATCAATTCTGTGCATTGTTCACTAACTACGTGCTATGCGTTCCATGTGTGTGCGTCAGTCGCATCTGTTCCCATTTCCGAATTACTTCTCTGTATGTGGTGAGATCTCATTAGATTCATTCTCTTGAAAAGATATTGCAAGTTTTTTAAAGTTTTTCTCGCTTTCCTTTCTCCCTTATCGATCTCTGCTAGTTGCTCGAGGACATACGAATGATGTACTCTTTCTCGCTAATAATGATGAAATGCTGTTTGTAAGTATTTTTACTCCTTTTTTTTTCTTGGAGCGCACGAATAACAGAGAAGAACTTCTTGTTCCGCACTGAGCGGAGAGTGATGAATCGTTTTTCTTTGTTCAAAATGCAAGGGAAGTGATCCATTTACTCTATGCTCGGTGTAGGATTGGAAAGATACAACTTGTGGGTATTACCGCTTCTGAATGCTATTACTAGGATAAGCTGAAGTAGTAAAGAGATGTTGAGTGAAAAATGTCATGTTTTTGAATTTTCGTTCAGGCCTATGAGTGATAATATTTAGTTTTGCCACATTCCTCTTACAAGGAAAGGATATACCAATACCAATATTAGCGGACGATTGAAGATGAGATGTATATCAGTAGACGCGCCTTCAAACGCTGATTCCAAATCTGCTTTCCTTTTTTGCGGAACAAGTTTTTGAGAAAAAGTTATGAGCGTTTGAATGTCCAAGTTTGCCAAGGTTTAGGTGGCCTAAAATTGGCGAAAAGCTATACAAAATATCGGAAAGTGGAAAATCAGTTTTGTACCGAGTATATCGTTTGCAAGGAAGGAATAAAGCCGATAGAAATTGCATAGGTATTGTTTTAGAGCTTTTCGTTGATTTTACGCCACCCATTGCTTGGCAAATTTGGACATTCAAACGCTCGTAACTTCTTTCGGAAGCCATTTCGCAAAAAAAAAGAGTTGGAATCAGCGTTCAAAGAAGCGTTTGATGATATACATCCCATCTTCAATCGCCGATTAATGTTGGTATCCTTCCCTTATTAGCATTATGACGCGCTTGAATGAGTAGTAGTGTTTGAGCATATTTGTGTAGTAAGTGATGGCATCTTTCTTATTTTTATCTGTACGTGATATGTTTGCCCAAGAACTTTTTTGGCCATCAACCTACCAAAATCAGCTTTTAATGCACTAAATTTTAGGTTTTATGTGCTCAGTCTTTTAGTGAGAGGTTTCAACCTTTTTTCAGTTTGTACTAGCTTAGGTTGTTTAGCTTGTTCACGTTTACCATATAGCTGCAGTCGCATTATGGTAATGAAGTTTGAGCTCGTGCAAAGCTCGTTCCATGCAAAGTGTATATTTTATATACTCTTACCACCAGTATGTTTACACAGGGTATCTTTGTGACTCGCTTACTCATGACCTCTACTTTTTGAGACTCTGCAAATATGTGCTCTCATCGAAAATACCGGTTTCTTAGTTATTCGCTTTTCGCTTGCTGATTTTCGTGTGCACGAGGGCTTCTTTATTGAAACTAGAGCGTTGTATCACCACGTAAAAACCTACCGCAGTGCATTTTTAATCTTTTTCCAGATGTCTTGAAGAGCTACAGAATGGAGGAATGTAGCACAAGCATAGAACCCACGGTTGATGTTGATCTTAACAACACAACTACCTCAACTACGTTATCACCACAAAATGGTACCATTACTGAGGAATGCTCTCAATTACAATCGCTTTATGATAAATATAACATTCAACAAAAAGAGATAGAAAGGTCTGTTGCTTTTTCTTTCATTTTGCATGTGTTAGTAATTTTTGTTTTTCTTCAGGTTAGAAGAACAGAATTCCGAGTATCGTGAAAAGTTGTTGAAGACAATACGAGAACGTGATTTGAACGATGAACTGCTGCGAAATGTACGTGAAGCACAGAAGAAAGAAACTATCGAGTTCGAAAAGCGCATCAGAGATTATGAGATACAATTGAAAGCTGTGCAGGTTAGTCTCTCCTGTTTCTATCAAATCGTACTTTTTTACATTTAATTCATTTCTTGCTGTGGCTTTTTTCTTGTTACTAACTAAAGTAGATTGGCTCTTCTACCTTCTTCCATTTCTTTGTTGATTTTCTCAGAATTCGTCCATAAAAGTCGTTTTCCTTTGGCGCGCACCAGGGTTCAAATTATATAGTTACCGCGCTGATTTTTTTTCAAGTCCCTCTTTCATAGTGACTGAATGTTGTAGCTCTGTGAGCATTGACTCAAAGTGCTAAACACGATGTTCATTGAGTTTAGATGCACTGTTGGCCATATTATGGCTCTAAATGGAAAATGTCATGCAATATTTTTGCCACTGTCATTGAAATTATTGTACGTAAAGTTCTATCTTGACATTTCGAGAGTATTTGATATTTGGCACATTAATTTTGCATTTTTTTTTGTAATCTACTGTGTGCCTTTTAGGATAAAGCATCCGCCCAAGAAGCTCACTATAATGTGACGATGAAAGATCTTTCTTTGAAATACAACACATCTGTCAGCCAGGTACGTTTACTCCCCTGATATCTCTTTCTCTCTCTCTCTCTGCCTCATCCCTGTTTAGTTGACCAAGAAAGCGGACATAGCTGAAAAAGAGAAAAATGACGCAGTCATAAAATATGCCACGCGGGAGGCAGAAATGATGCGAATGCGAGCGGAATTACAGAAGAAGGAACAAGAGTTACAAGAGTTCAAGAAAGCAAAGGAGGAGCTGGAAAAGTGCCAAAGCCAAGAAAATGTAGAGCAACTGGTATGAATCCAATTTCGAGTTTTGAGTTCAACTTCTGATATCTTGGTTACTTTTAGGAGAAGTCCAACAATACATTACGGGTCGAGATTGAACATATCAAGCATGAAAAGTTCGACTTGGAAAATAAATTGAAGATTGCCGAAAAACGTGCTGATGTAAGTCGCTTGTAAATATCATGGTTCCTTCATTTTCATTTTCTTGAGCATTTAGTTTTTTATTTTGATATTTCGTTTTTGCCTTCGTAAGCAAGTGCAGTATAACCGATGTTTCACTGAAAACCTTCTCGAGGTCATGGGTTACCGTTACATTTGGCACTAGGTAGGGTCTTCACTGAATGGATATTTATGTAATAGGGTTTCTCTTCATCTGCCGTTGCATTCGCTTGACCAAAAGCGAAAATGGACATTTAAGAGGTCATCTTTTGTGACCCAGATAATCGATCGACCCCCTGTGTCCATTGTTCCCGTTCAAAGGACAGTGGCGGGAGAATGACATGCGTTGGTATCGTGTTTCGGACCCGTCATTCAGTTCTTGATAGCTTCGGCGGCGCCGCGTTATGGAGCAAAGGTACGCCGCATTTGCCTGTGGTATATCCTGAGGGCCCTTTGCGTTGCGTCGCTCCTAATTGCAGTCGCAGACGAGCTAGTGCTACTGAGTCATTTTCCTCATCCTTCATAGATAAAGAGATCAAAACGTGAATGATATACGCATTTCGAACAAAGAATATGAGGTAGGAGTGTCTGCAAAGCAAGCCAAGAGAAAGTAAAAGATGAGGAAGTAATTTTTCTTGGGAAGTTACTGACGGAAAATTTCTATCCGTTTTCTCTAATTCTCGTGTTCTACTTCTCTTGAACACTTTTAACTCAATATCCAGTATTGGATCATTCCAGAATGAGCCTTTGATTCATCCCTAAAACTCATCTATTTTGTTTTGAATTTTCTGAATTTAGTCTTCTTTGTTGTCTTTATTGCATTAATACAGTTTGAAATCTGGTCAGTAACAGGGAATGGCTCAATCCGCTGGCAGGAGCAGCGTTACTCCTGAGCAATTAAAGGCGACGCAACGCAAATGGCCCTCAGGATATACCGCAGGGTAATGCGGCGTAACTTTGCTCCATAACGCTTGCCCCCCGATAGCTTCGTTGTGTTCTCTGTTTCCCACAAATTCTTTCATCTTTTGTTTTTACAACTTAACTATGATTCTGGGGATGTTGTTCAACTGGAAGAATAAATTTCAAAATTAGAAGAATTATGTTCATAAGCATAAACAAATTTGGTCTATTCTTGCTTCAGGCATGCACCTCCTCAGTAGCAGAGCTCAGGCAACAATGTGATGTATTGCGTAAACAATTAATTCAAATCAAAGAGGAAAAGGCTCAAATACAAGAGGATCATCGGCAGCTGTCTTTGAAAACGCAGGTTAGTCTACTTCTATGCGGTTTATCTTTAATAGCAGCTAACTACATTCTTCTCTTTTTCGTGGATAACTTTTTGAATCAGCACTGTGAGTGCGGTCATCTCATTTATGTCGAGCTGGGAATGCTAGACTTTTGATTGATGCGCTGTTTCCATCATATTATTGCCATGTAAACTGATAACCACGAATGATCGGCAGTTCGTCAAATGTTGACGTTAATGTCTTTGCGATACGTGGAATAGTATGAAAAAGCAGTCAAGGTTGGATGTTGGCTTTTATAGCTGCATCCTTCGTGATATGCATACAAAAATTATTCACTAATCATCAGTCTTAGTATTCCATACTTCTGTTAAAATCACTTTCTAGATTTCAGATTCAAGAATCTCGTAGGCAACATGAATCGCAAGAGTTGAGCAAATCGCAGCAAGAGCTGGAACAAAGGATAGCTGAGGCTAATTCTGAAATAGCACGACTAAGTGAGACGAATCGGGAAGTGAATGGGCGACTGGAGGAAGTCACCAGGTAGGAGTTTCCTGATTTTTGCGGGTGGTTGATCTATGAGCTCGTTTTCAGAGAAAACTTTGATTTGCTCAAAAAGCTGCAAGACCTTGAAGATAAGCTTACTATGGAAGAAGAAGCTCATGCAGCTGCAAATATTGAACTTTCGCGTCTACATGGCATCGAAAACCAGGTTTCCAGGTATAATGCTTTTCAAAATTGTGAGTGAAGAAAACACAGTTGGCATTTAGCACGAAAAAGGTCGTAGAGCGAGCCAAAGCGGCCCAAGAACAAGCCGAAAAGGAGCGCGAGGTAATCTTGAACTCATCCTCTTTTGTAATTTATCATCACTGAGATCATTCAGATTGCTGAACAAGAAGCTGAAGAGTGTAGGCAACAAGCTGAGCGAATGTTGACGATCACTGAACAGCTAACACAGCGTAACAGTCAGCTTGCTACTGATGTGTCAGTGGATCGCGAGAAGGTTAGAGATTCGAATTTTGAATATATCTGAAATGCTTACTAATTAGCATTTTTGAAGAACTGTCGCCTTGAGCAGCAATTGATCGAAACTGAAGGATCTTTGCAAAGAGCCCTGCTGAAGCTAGCGGAACGGGTAAGTAGTGCTTAAAGGCAGTGTCCGGGCAAAAACTCGATTTTGAGATTTTGTGCTTATAGGGGCCTATTCGCCATGCTGAATCCGAAAATCCACATTGGAAAGCGCGAAAACGGTGAAAAAGGGCTCTAACACAGGAGGGAAATCAGCATGTGGGCGGGGCTTTCCCCAGTGCGATTTCACGCTCCCAGCTCCCGAAGCGATTTTCTCGATCCCGCTAGCCGTCCTAACATCGCTACCGGTCAAATGCAAATGATTGACTTGAAAGCGGAAGCGAGAAGGTCGCTCCGGAAGCCGGGAACGTGAATTCGCAGAGGGGAGAACCCCGCCCACCTGCTCATTTCCCTCCTGTGTTAGAGCCGTTTTTCGCCATTTTCGCGCTCTACAATGTGCATTTTCGGATTCAGCATAGCGAATAGGCCCAAGTAAGCACAAAATCTCAAAATCGAGTTTTTGCCCGGACACTGCCTTTAAGCTACACTAGCCTCTGGGCTTCTTGTTCTTTTCTTCGTTAGTATCATGATTACTGAGCGATGCTTTGAGCAAGCTTGGTTTTTTTTCAGGAAAAAGATCTTGAAGAGGCTACCGGAAGTGGACAGACTGAAATAGCCTTTCTGAAGACGGAGCTCAACGAGAAGATAGCAAAAGGTACCTGATACAAGATCTTTTTTTTCCACCTGTCTGAATATGCAGGACTAGTCTAATTTCTGATGGTAATCTTATTCAGTGCAAGAGTTAACGCAGCGATTACAAGAGGAGCGTACGGATCACGCGGCTTTGAAAAAGAAGTACATGGCTAATATTAAGGTAACTGTTTACCACCTATCTATTTCATTTTACATTTATCAAATATTTTTATGTGTTCTCAATATCCTTTTGCATTTTTGAAGTTTGACTAATCAGCTCACCAAATTCGTATTTCATGTTGTTTCCCACAAAAATTCAATATCAGCATTTGCAGGAATTAAAGCACGAATTATCAAGCCTCCGCAAGCAGGTGGATGCAAATAGTGGTAACTCTCCGCTTGCTCCACCACTATCTGGAGATTCTGTGCCGAGCACGAGCTCAAGATCGAGAGCGAGCTCAGTCACCAGTTTGGATAGAGCTACTGTGAGTTACCTTCTTATTAGATGGATCACTTCGATCAACTTTTAAAATTTAGACCACTTCGCGTGATGAGGATAGCTCTCAAGCTGGTCATGTTGCGGTTGCTGAGACGAATGCCATCCAGCAAGTGATGATAGACAAGGTACTGACCATTGTTTTCAGTTCAGTGAATTTCTAATTTGAGCTGTTGTTTTCATTTGACTTGACAGAAGTATTCTTTCCGAATAAATACAGCATATTGAATCAACATTGTTTTGGTTTTCATTTAAAATATAGATATTTTTATATTTTCCATCTATGTACTGGTCACGATTCCGTTGTTATTACATCAAAAAGTTTAGATCATTGTTTTACAAAAGAAGCTTGCAAGAAGAAATGAAAAGATAGAATTTTTGGAAGATCATGTCCGGCACTGTCTCGAAGAGTTGCAGAAGAAAACAAAGTGAGTAGATTTTCATTTTTCGATTCGAGCTCTTCGATCCAAAAGTGTTCAGAATAATCCAACATTATGCACTGCGTGAAGAAGCATCATTGCTGTTACCGTCGGATGGATCGCTTGAGCAGGTAAACAAGTTTGAACTTAAATTTGTTGCAAAGGTTTTTCTCCCATTGAAGTCAGTAAAAATTATAGCTAATGAACTGCTGCGAGGTTGTACAGGTAGGCTAAATGTTGTAGTTGTGTTAGTAGAGAAACCTTTGAGTTGTTTTTCTACAAATATTTTTATTGATGATCAAAAAGTTACGAGACAATTGCATGCCCGCTTTTTCGTCAAATTATTGTCATATAGTACCAGGTTGAACGTACTCTACAGTGATGTGCCCCTTTGTTCCTTTTCAATGGAAATAGAAGTGGTCCAAAACATCTAATGCTAGTTGAAGAATGTGCACGCAACTACAAGGAAGTGAGAAGAATCCTTATTATTTTCAGTTTAGGTTCCACTATCAAGGAAAGGAACTTCATATTCCCTCATGGGTGCAATCTTCTCTGGAGGAAGCGATAAGAAGTCTTTACAGCTTGCCGCAGAAGTGAATTCGAGGTTGCAGGCTGTGCTGGAAGATGCCTTGATAAAGAATATAACTTTAAAGGTGGGGTGAGAATGAGACTGAGGTCATAATCAACCGTAGATTTTTAGGGTTCCGTTGACTCACTCAGCAACGAAGTTTCACGATTATCCCGAGAAAATCGCCAGCTCACATTAACACACAGTCGGTGCAACGAACAGCACATATAGATATTTATTATTGTAACACTTAACTTCGGTGAACTTCTATTTGCTTGTTTAATGTATCATATAAATTATGCACTAGCCGAGAGCGGGTGCAAAACGTGATCTCGGATGGTTTCATTGGATAAAACAAGGCTTTCATTTGCTTCTATTTTCCCTGACTTCATAGATGAATCGACGAGTGGAGATGGTTTTGCCTCGTTGTTAAGGTGGCATTCTTCAGGATTCTGCCCCCTTTTTCAGCCACCGTAAACACGGGAGGCAGAGCTCTTTTGAGTAGAAAATTTGAAATTATCGCCTTTTTCACTACACCCGAATCTGCTAGATGAATAACGCATGCTTACCTTGGTTACATTATGGAACAGACATCGGATCTCACAAAATAGTTTCATTAGGGAAGAAGCCTCATGAACGGATGAGTGCAATTATTGCCGTTCATAAGGAACAAAGTCGAAGACTCATTTCCACAATGATATAACGCATCTTCATCAAATTCATTTCATCATATCAATAATTTGCAACAGTGAAAACATCATCAGCAAATGAAAAATAGAGATTACAATACTTCCCAACTGTTATAAAAAAAGAATTGTTAAAATGTTTTGTCATATGTTTGTTAGCGTCGAGATGTCTAACAGTGCTAAAGCATTCAATTATATATGAATCTCCAAAATCTGAGGTACATAACATAGAAAATGGTGGAAATCTCGAACTATTAGATGGGAACATGCAAAGGAGATCAGGTTAATTTGCAACTATACTAAAGGATTACAACAAGAGTAATGCTTCGATTCATCAGACTAAGTAGAAGTTGTTGATTAATTTTGAGAAAACCGGGATTGCTAAATCACAACAAGTAACGATCACTAGGCTTGATTAAAACTAAGCAAAGGGACAGATTAGCTGAGCGTGACCAGTGATGCGGATCAGGAATAACTAGATATATGCAGATTACTCAGCGGTAACCTTCTCAGTTGTAGTGTATGTCACTTCAACTTTCTTTGTGACCACTTTCGTAGTCTTTAGCCTAGCAGATGGACAAATATCCTTACACAAGCAAATGTCGCATTTTGGCCCAATTGGGAGGCAAATCTGCTGTCCAAATCCGACCAAAAGTGGATTGATTGACGCCCACTGCGATCTGCAGACAATCTATAGACCCACAAAGCATAACAGAGCACAAGTAAGCTACGAAGTTCATTTTGGAGTACGATATCACACCAATGTATCAGAAGTAAAGTCTGTGTTCTAAGTCTGTTTTCATAGGTATCACCGCAGCGGAACAAGTTTGCTGCAGTTAACGCTTTCGGCACCAATCATTGAGTGCTCTAAATAAGAAACTTGTCGAGGCGCAAAGATGAGGGGTATGGCCTGCGTCCTAGCATACTTCTTAGCAACGCTAATTCAAAAAGTGCTAGCACCCATACACTCAAAAATAGAGAGGCTCAGGAGATATGATTGTGGAGGCACAAACTAACCTAGGTAACATCTCCTCAAGTTTGGCACGCGTTCTCTCGGGCGTGTCTGTATTCACCCATCCTGAAGGACGTGGACTCATTATGAGGCTAACGATCCGCCATAAGACGTTTACCTAATCTGTTCGCAGTTCTGTGTACATGTGTATCGACAGCAATTCCATCCACCTTGTTGTAGGCAACCTGCAGAACTAAGTGTGCCATTTTGGGCCCAACTCCGGGAAGTGAACATAGGCCTATAAATGTTTTTTGGGCGACAACACACAAGACTTGTAGCAAATTCTTATATGCTTATTTTATTTATGCTGTTGAGGGTACGAGGAAAAAGCGGGAGCGATATATTACAATAATTTGACTTGTGATTCTTGGCACAACAATCAGAGAATCCGCCAACTCCAGCTTACTCTAGGCATCTATAAAAGTCAAGTAAATATTCCCACCTTCGAAAGTATCTGGTACATCCCCATTATACTTCTCTTTGAGGATAGCTGCTGCTTTCTGGATATATATTGCTTTCCTCTGAAAAGATGCTTAAAAACTGAAAGACGTCTATGTAGTCATTACCTTGTAGAAGCTAACGGGGTATAATAACTTCTCCAGCTCTGAGGTAGGAATGGTCAGCATTGAATCCACATTGCATCCATAGCTTCGCAATCGCTGAAAGAAGATGATGTTCAGATGATAGCGAGCATGGAAACGAGAGCATACAAAGGCGCAGCTAATAATAGTCACCAAATATAGCAAAGATAAACAGCAAAAGACGCGTACGCCTTGTTTCTACAAATATTTGATAAAATGACACATGCTGAAACGTGCCTTCATAGCAGCCGAAGTAACGTCATCTTTTGTTTGACTGGACAGCATCAATGCCATGAGTACTTGAAAATGAAACGTCTGCAAAACACTGAACGTTCGCTCATTGCTGCAAAATTATTGTTGCTACACTTTACAAAATACTTGACAAGCATTGCTAGTGAAATCATACAAAAACAAATAACAAAAGAAGTTGAAAAAAAAACGAAAAAATCCGAATGAAACGCATGATGATATCAGATGACTGTAAACACACCTCTGGACTCACTAGAGGATCGGCAAGTTTGTGACATCCCATAGTGTCCACGGGAGCATCGCTTGTCTTGCGCATTTCAGTTATTTTCTCGACCTAATCAAAGCTGTAGATCAAAACAACGGAGAGTAAACCATGAACCCACATGGATTTTCCAGAAATCTTCGACATCAAACGTTTTCTTCTCAGCGACTTCCGTTTTCTTGATCTTTCCAATTCGCTTCATTCTTATACAGGTGCGCGATAGAGCCTTGAGATTGATACACCTCCGCAACAGCAGAAGACTGAAAGGGATACCTTGGTCTGGACTTCGTGTTAAACAAAAGACTTTGAATGAAGACCAAATTGCACTTCACCATGTTTTACGCTGAAAGCACAAAAATCTAGAAGTTGAATTCAATCCATTACCAATAAGCCGTAAAGCTAACTGCGCCTTCCGCAATTACAGAACAATATTTTAGGCACGGCGACATTTAATCCGCTCAGTTCACTTGTCCTTGATCAGCTTCGTCATTGGCCAATTCAGTGAACTGTTCAATAGTGAAGCGGATGAAGTGGATCAAGCGGATAGAGTGTGGTTCAGATATTTATTGCGTGGGAAACTTCGGCACTATTCCGCATTAGTTGGCCCAAGGGAATGAAAATCGTGAATTTCGCTAAAACTTCGTCTTGGGGGGAGGGGGGAGGGGGGTTATTCGGTATGTTGAACACGAATATGATGTTTACTTCGTGCGACAGCGCCATCCGTTGGAGTTACGGCAGGACTACGGTATAGGGCCGAAATCACGGATTTGCTGGCCGGGTATTCGGCTCGCTGATTCCAAATATCACATTGGTTTTGAACCGTGACTCATTTTATCGCATTACGGTAGCTACCGACAACGGGTGCAAAACATAGTTCTGCCTGAAAGGGGTGTACGGTGAGTCGGACGATCGTGAAGCTTTGCACACACGACCACCGCCGCGCGCTACACACCCTGCTGCGGCTTTTGCCTGAGCAAAGCACAGGGGAGGATACATTTGCCGATTTGTGATTTCGATCCCTATCGCAAACCTATCATAACCATGCAGGGAGACGTTTTCGTGCGGAGAAATTGTGGCATTTCTAATCAGCATGTCGAATAACCCCTCTGTGCGAAGTTACAGCGGATTTTGAGATTTTGACCCCCTACCGTACACCGACCGTAGCCCGGGGAGATGACGCTACGGTACAAAACCAATGTGATATTCAGCATCAGCGGGCCGAATAACCCCTTGACGATTCAAATCAAATCCGTGATTTTGACCCCCTACCGTAATCCTACCGTAACTCCACTGGATGGCGCTGGCATGCGAAATAAACATCGTATTCGTGTTCAGCGTGCATACCTAATAACTTCCCTAGACGAAGTTTTAGCGAAATAGTGGGAATAACGCCGAAATTTCTATGCGTAATACATTCAACAAGACCAAAGTGTAATCAACAGAACAGATAGCACAACAACATAGACACGACTACAATCAATTGATAAATTACGGCGAAAGAAGATAGTTCGCAAACCCAATTTGAACTGACATATTCGCAAACCCATTTTGAGCTGACATAGTCTGAAAGGAAGCATACCCTTTCGCATCAGTCTATCTAGATCGCCGCTGACTCTATTTGTAAAAAAATCTTCTTCTCACGTTCCTCCCTGCTCTTGCTATTACCATTTCTTGAGGTTCCCCTCCTAATAATAGAACTAGTCTCAAAGAAGTTTGCGTATCTCACGACTAGTTAAAGGCCATCCGCGCTGCGTGCGGAGAGCAACGCTGTTGCGTACATTGGAGGCAGTTTACGAACTGGAAGAAGCGCAGAGAAAACAGGCGGCGAGAGAGCACGAGGAAAGAGGAGTGACGCGCAGTACACACCTTGCACACTCTCCGTGCCCTGCGCGGACGGCCTATAATAAGAAAAACCTTTAAAACCCTTTTGACGATTTTTGGTTCCTGCCATCTCAGCAACTGACTCGCGCCTGAAGGTGCTGAGACTGAGATCTCCAGAAAATTCCAAAAAATAAATCTCAGTTCGAAATTTGACCAGGAATGGTGCTTTGTTGAATCTATAAATCATAACGTGTTGCTGCATTTCAGCATTCGTATATCCAGCGAATGAAAGCACCAGGGTCGAGCAAGAGGTGTGGTACACGAAGGCAGGGTACGACCCCCCCCCCCTTCTTCCCCCCCCCCTCCCCTTGCTCCGCTGAGTGTCTCAGTATCCCCAGCATATCTGCTAGCTATCGTGCACCCCCATTGTTCAAATAGGATATTCAAATAGCTACTATCAAACTGGCTGTCTTTTGATCTTTTTGACACCTTGATTTGCTGGAGTTTTACACGTTAGAACGATTGAAAGGCAGCCACTTTTATGGTACCCATGGGAACAGTTCTGGGGGATGTACTATACGTAGCAGTGGCGTACTGAGGAGGTGGCGCCTTCCCCCGAGACTAAATCGCGAAATTTCCAAACGTTACCTATATGAGTTATAAAAATGTGCAAGTAACTTGTTTATACTGCAAATAATTGAAATTTTCCTAAAGCATTCGGTTTAGCGTTCCTGGCGCCACATTTCCTTTTCATGAAATTTCGCAGTTATGGACCGACGGAAATTTTGAAAAGCATACCAAAATATTTTCGGAGTGCGTGGCTGACGCCATGCACCCCCGTTAGAAAAAGTTTTTTGTCCCCCTCCCTCCTCTTCCGCGAACGGAAATCCTGGGTACGCCACTACGCATAATGCGAGGCCCTCCCAAGCAAAAACGCAATCTTTCGGTTTTCGAGCTTTTTCAGATATCACTCGCTATACTTGCCTCATTCACATTCACTTCTACATAGTTACGTCATAATATCCAGTGCTTCGACCCGAATGACTTCTCTTCTTTTCTCCATATGAAGGTTGTGTTCTATCATAGCTGTCAAAGTGAAGGTTACCAGAGTACATGGCTCTATTTATCGAAGGTATGGTGTTACGTATCACAAACCGCCTCTGGTGTCACAAACCTCCTTATGAGGACGAGTCTAACGCTGTGGTGCACGGTTGCCGCTGCAGGAGCTTGAGTGGTAATGCACTGATGCAATTGCAGCTGCTTCCCGCTGGCAATCCGAGGGAATGAACAATCCGAAACTCGTCCGCGCCCTTAGTACACGATCCTCGGAAAATGTCTGAGGGGGTTTTGGACAAATTGATTTCTATAACTGTAATTACGGAGAAAGGCCCCAGAATGACAAAAGCTTATTTGGCAAAATTTTGGGTGGACGCTCCCGTTAAGTGGTTCCCTCAGAAAGTGTAAGTCAAACTGATTCACTTGGCTTCTCGCCAGCAATAGAGGATCCATGATACCACTTTTGCAAAGCCATAGATGTTTGACAAATGAATATGCAAGCCATAGACTTTAGCCCAAAAAAGTGATCAGATTTTATTTCTATTTCTTTACAAAATGGCAAAGAAAGGATTGACTGCGTAAATGATTGCTCACGGTGTTTCTTACAAAAGAACAAGAAACACACAGTTAATCATACACTAATCACAAGAATAGATCACTTAGTGAGAGTCTATTCTTCTGGTCTAACCTTTGGACTAAATTAGTAAATGTGATAATTGAGCTTGTTGAGGTAGTCTAAAAAATAGGCAACATTTGGATGGTGGATATACTATTTCCTGATAAACCGCACCAAATTAGTCCAATAGACCGCCAGTCCATATGGGTAGAGCCCAGTGACCCCCAAGTAAACAAGGGTTGTAGTATGGTAACTCATAAATTACTGGGAAGATGCTCCAGGCTCGTTTGCCAGCAAAAATGCTCTCTAGATTGATGGAATAACAAATTATATAATAAATTAGCCTTAAAAAATAAATTGACGAGTAAATTGAAAATTGAAATAAATTATTTATTAACAAATAATCAATAAATTAATTTTCCCCAAAAGAGTTCAATGACTTCGACGGAATGTGAACAAAATTTAGCCTTTTTTAGCCAACTGAAGTCAGCAAGCTTTACCAACTGAGGAAAGGACATTTGTTGAATATATTAAAACTAACATGATGATAAGGTAGGGGTCAGTACGAAATGTGAAATGCAAACAGTGTTGAAAACAGCATACACATGACCAGCTAATCATAACAATACAGATATCCGTAGCGTTATATGTTGATGGAATATGAGTTGCCGGAGAAACAGTCAGCAAATACTAGCATCCGAAATAACCCAAAATTCCAAAGGTCTTTATTCAATGCTAGCTGGTTATCATATCAAAAGATTTAGCACATGGCTAACAAATTATAGATGTCGAATCAAAACTATATGTAGAAATTTCGTGGGTTCTAATGTCTTTAGTTCACTTTTGAATTAGATACATTATTACGTAAAGGCTCATTATTATTAGCTACATTATCACATCGAGCAACGTTTTTCTGTATTAAATTTGCTGCTTCGAAAAGACCGTGATAAAGTTGATTTCTTTCAAATACCGCTCCGCTAATGATAGATAAAAAACAACTAGTCCTTCCATAAGTTGGATTAAGATCCAGTACTTCGAAGGCCTCAATGTGGTCTATCCTCTGAGAATTCAGCATTAGCTCATGAACAACCTACGTTAAGAGATTTTTGAGACCAAGCACTTCCAAGCGTTTTAATTAGGAAGTGACAGGGGATAGTTGGAATGAGAGAGTAAAGGTAGAGAAGTAATCGTGTAAGAACTTTATGAACGCCCCCGTGAAGGAGAATAATGTGGCACCTGTTTATGCACAATGCTCCCCTCCCCCGATGAGTCGCCAAATTAAAGTTACTTGAGTTCTAAACGTGAGCAAGTGACTTGCTTATACTTGTAAAATAATTTTTAAATCTTTTAAAGATTCATTCTAGCCCTATAAAAAGTTTTTTTCGGTGCTCGACGTCACGCCCCTTTTTCTGAAATTGCGGGGTTATGACCCGCGAAAACTTTAAGAAACATCGGAGTGCGTGGCTAAAGCCACGCACCTTCATCAGAAGAAAATTTTTGTCGCCTCCCTCGCCTCCCCCCCCCCTTCCGAACGGAAATCCTGGGTACGGCACTGGAAGAGGGATGAATGATGAAGTGTTCAAACGGTACAACTGCGGTTAGAAAGAGCATTGTTCGCACTGCAGCGTAGCTGGAAAAAATAGTGCAGCTGCGAGTTGAGCAATTCGAGAACATATGGCTGAGGACATCGTGATAAACCTCTTCAATTCAAAGAAAACCGATTTCACTCAACTCGAAACAAGAACAAATCACTCAACAAAACTATGAATGAAATATTCCTA